AGTCAGTTTTCAGTCTGCGCCGACGAGTTCGTTTGAGCTTCTTTTTCCTTTCAAACCCGAACTGGAGTAAACTAGTTTTGCACCATCATTCAGTCTGAAGCAGATATAGCAGTCGCTGTTTTTTGTAATTTTTTTTATCCGGTTAAAAGTGTCATTTCGCAGCGTATTTGGTGAGAGTGGGCTGAGGTGTTTTAGGGAGGGGGCTGTGATGGGGGAGTGTCCGCTTCTTCTACTTAACTCACTTATCTCATAAAACTCTTTTGTACAGAAATATAAAACTATTCCTCCCGTCCTAATGTTATCCCATATATCGAAAAATCTTAGCTCTTCTTTTTTTTTAAACCGACCAACCTCATTGTAAAAGGATAAAGAAGCAGCTGTCCGACAATAGAGCCACGTAAAGCTGTCTGTACTGCGACACAGCCTTTGTCTTAAGCAGCAGCTCATTACAGCCCAGTAAGCAGGAGGTTACACCACGTACTTGTAACAGTACTACCAGAACTTTGCTCTACTGTAACTCATAATGCACTCTGAAGCCGTTCGATAGAACTAAAAGAAATCCCAAAAGTATCTGACTTAATCATACATATTAATAAAAACACAAAAAACGAAGTATCTCACATAAAATAAAATAAAAAAACCTAAATATTTTATGACTGATTTACTTACCTTCCAAGGAAAAAAACCTGTCCAAACGCGAAATGGTGTTAAGATATTCCTCGCCTTACAGTAATTATGAAAAAGAGCTATAAACTGGAGTGTCAATGTATTTGAAGCCGGACTCTCGTTCTGTGTCAGTGGAGGATTTGAAAGTGGCGCCAACGGCTCTGCTCCTCTAACCCACACCGCCGTCACACACACAGAAAATAAATAGAAATTCAAACGCGCGCGCAGCAATATTTCACCCGTACCAAAATGTGCCTACCAACCAGCACAATCGATCCCTGTCGTTACTTTTGAATAATATCGCTCCTGTGATTTTTATTTAATTTTTATGTTAAATTAAAATAGCCGTCACAGGCTTTTCTCGGCCGCGGTGCAGCACGGGAGATTGTGCAAGGCGGTTGTGTTTTGAATATCTAACCGGTTTGAGAAGAGGAGGGCAGTGTCTCCCCCTGCAGGGACTGTGTGTGTGTATGTGTATGTGCGTGTGTGTGCTTGTCAAGCAAAACTTTATACATAATAATACTGTAACTGCAAGTGTGTGCATAGTTTAGATTGAACGAAAAGTCATCAAACATGAAGTTTTAAGTACATATCAGAAGAGATTAAACCTCTCCTTGGTATCTATGTGTTAACAGTAAATTGCAGTTTCATAATCAAATATGTCACATCACTATTCCGCGCTCATCGGCCAAAATACTTGGAGCAGGACCTCACAGTGTCCTCAATGGTTGGTACAGCCTGGATTGTAAAGTGTGGTAACTGTATGAAGTACCAGTACACCAAAAATAAAAGTATTTGAATCACCCTGTGCATAGGAAAAGTGTTAATCTTAAGGTTTTCATTACATTGAAACAAATGCGTAACAAATACTACATCTTGAATTAAAGCATATGACCTCTATTAAGATAAATTATGAAACAAACCCAAAAGTTAAATATTGAATTTCAGTCAAAGAACAGGCAAAGTCAAATTTCTTAAGAAATATGCAAAACCATGTTGTAATTCTTTATTTTTATTATTGTAAAAGTTGAAATCCAGTTGGTTTATAGTGTTTTGTACTGTGTTCTGTTCTGTCAGTATGTTAAACTGGGAAAAGGCCCTCCCTTCACATACATACCTTCACCATCAGGGGGCGCCAGAACCACAAGTGAAAAATGAATAATGGTGAAAGGGAGCTTTATACTAAATCTGAATCGTTTTAAGTCAACAGGTGTTTTCCATCGTTGTTATTATCACTCCTCTCCGGCCCACAGCTGACAACACTTGACACTTTTTAAAGGCATTAATCTGGTGCTAATTGGTTAATTGTTAGTCTCCCCGCTTTGCATATTTGTCAATTACTTTTTAATGGAGGAACTGCTGTTTCATGTCACGATTCCAGACGAGTCAGTCGACTCAAACTCGGTAGAGTGGGCTGATTCAACAATCATGACTCAGGCAAGCACGATACATAAGAAGATGTAAAAATCATATCGCAAAATCATAAACGACAATTTTTTTAACCAGAAACTGAACTTAAAGCTAGAACCATACTCTTAACTTTAAACATACAATGATAGCACCTGCTAATAAGCACATCTCTTACTGTACATTCATATCTTGTATTGGTAGGACAAGCTGCTTCATTGGAACTGCAGCGAGGTAACAAACTACCATCTATTACCAATATCTTGGTCCTGTATACAATGAAAAAGAGTTCAGTGGTTGCCCGTGGACAAGTTTGTAGAATCATCTTTCATGGATTCAGAAAACCATATGACTATTTAGTTAACACAACACAGCCCAGTGAAAAGTGTCTTCTGGTTTAGTAGTTTAGTTTGCTTCTTTGGCGCTGTGTCAAATGTAATGCTCGGCTTCTCTCTGAATCTGTCCATTTCTGTTTTTTGATGCAACCACCAGATGGTGCCATGATGAGAAACATTCATAATTCATCAATGATCTAATAGTTCCAGTGACAGAATAATAATCTTGAGCAGTTTTAGTGCAGAATGTACATGCAGGGTAAGCCTTCTTGTAACAGCTGGAAATGTGTACAGAGAACAAGTTAGAATGCTGTTGAAGGACTTTTTATTTGCTCATCCAGAGCAATAATGTAGCAGCAAGCAACCATTTGCTATGTAAAGATACAGTGGAGTAATGAAGTCACTCTCCCTTTGATTTTGTTGGAATCCAAGCTTCTCTGTGATTTGTTTACATAGCCAGGTCGGCGCGGGTCGCCCCCGGGTAAATACTGTTAGCTCTGTCAGCACTGTAACCATTGTTTGCACTGTTAGTGCTGTTAGCACCATTAGCCGCTAGCCGCCGGCTCAGCCGTCTCCATGTTGGGAGCCTTGTGGAGACAATAGAAATGATCTGAACTCAAATCTAGCCCCTTTAGGAAAAGCGGCTGTAGGGCGCCGGGTAGTGCTTCAACCCAGCGTTTTAACGAAAAAGCGCTCCGAGCAATGTTTTTATGACAACAATATCTTGACAACATATCACCACTCTTACCACCGTTGTATGGCAGACTAGCATCACTCCTCTGCTTTTTATTATCTATTTGGGCTGCTATGTTTTGGTTTTACATCGTTTTTCCACCATGAGAATCAAATGGAGGATGTCTGCTTCATACTTTGTATGGATGAGCTTGTCGCCACTCAATAGATAATAGATAATATGTACCTCTGCTTTCTAAACCCCATCAAGCAACAACAAATCTAATGTTTGGTTTGAGGCATCAGGTCACATGTGGTTCAGATGCTACATTTTTTATTTTCTTAGTTGTTGTGATGGCAAAAGGGTAGAACAAGAGAGTTAGAACAAGAGTAAGAATAACCTAAATGACATGTTTCTAAGGGCAGCACAGTGGATCTGTGGTTAGCAGAGTCATCTCACAGAAACACCAGGATCTAGACTCACTATGGTGCACTTCCCATGTTCATGTAGGTTCCCTCTGGGCACTCTGGTGTACCGACTTCCAGATCAAGTAGTTTGGAGACTTACTGTTTGCTGCTATCCTTCATCTAGTGCAACCAACGGGTAAAATTTCCATTCGTCCAACACTTCAGTTTAAGTCAAGTCAAGATTTATTTAAGTGCATTATCACACTAAGGTGAATCATATTTACAAAAAAAAGAAAGAATCACAAGTACTAACACTGTAAGCTGCATTAATAGATCATTAAGAGTAAATAGGCACAGGTAGAACAAGAGTACAGTACAGTAATAACAGATATAGTAATAATGTTGATGATAAAACAACTGAACCAATGTAGATCAGTACAGGATGAGGGTTACAAACATTTCATGAACCAGCCACATAGGATGCTGTGGGCTCCATGTTGTTGGTTTTTAGTTTGGCCCTAAAGGAACAAGCTACTTCTGCTGTAGCTGAGAAGACTTTTTCAGAGCTAAGGACTGTGGATGGAAAAGGCTCTGAAATGGGGTGACTTTTCACACCTTTTGAAATCTAATCCAGACAACAAAGAGTATCTACAGGTTTGTATGGTGTAATGGTATCTGAGAGGCAGCCAGGTGCTAGCCAGGGTGAGTATTTTAGCATCTGCTCTGACACTGGCAGTGGAACTACATCACAGATGGTGGGATGGGATCAAACATTTTGGATAGGGTTTGGATTCTAGCAGCAGTGTTGCAAAACAACTTTCTGGCTGTGTTGCAAAAGGTGATGAAAAACGTGACAGGAGACTTTAAGGTGCTACATTTTAAATTCAGAGTATTAATGTAGTAGCAAACAACTATTTGCTAAGTAAAGATATAGAGGAGTAATGGCTACCTGAGCAGAGAATGAAGTGACTCTGTGTTTTTTACGTAGCGTGGTCGGGACGAGCCTCTGGTTCCCCCTCAGGTTAACACTGTTGGCTCTGTCAGCACCGTTGCCATTGTTTGCACTGTTAGCTGTTCGCCGCCGGCTCAGCCATTGCCATTTTGAGATTCATGTTGAGGCAATCCCTCAATCAGAGATATACTCTGAATTTCGAATTTAGCACCTGTTAAGGATTCAGTATGCTTCAAACACACTAGTTCAGACGAAGGGTCGTCTAAACCTGTCCACACACTAAAAGTGTTTGAAGTTGTTCTGAGAGGCCACATTTGAGGATCAAGATGAGGATAACGATGCACACTTTGCCGACAATCTTTATTTGAAGGCATTCATGGTGCGGTAATCTGCCATGCACTTCATATGTGGTTCAAATGTCCATATCACCATCATCCGGTCATACAAATCAAAGAAACGTAATTGAGGAAATCTCTGCTTGGATTCACTAAAATGGCATGCATAACTATGAATCATCATTTGAGTGACTTGCTTTAATTTTTCACATACCCTATCTGTATCATATAAGTGGAGCGTCGGATCGATTTAGCGTATCTTCCCAGATTAAAATGCATTTTATTTTGCCATTTCTGATTCTCCAAATGAAGTGTATTTATTTCCAAGTCAAAAGTAACCAGCACACTATCAACAGAATATTCACAAAACACTTGCATATCTAATGTCACACCACAACAACAGTATAGCTTGCCAAACACAGTTTGTCAGATAAGCATCTGAACCCCCTCATCAAACACTTGCCGACCGCAACAATATTTGTAACTTCCTAAAACCTGCAAGCCAATTTACACACCCACTTTACAACTGCCACTGGCAAGGTGTGAAAAGGTATACAAGTATGCCTTCATGGAGAGACTGTCTGAAAGTGTCCCTTTCTATGACCATGGGCTTTTCGAATGTAGCCATTCGGAACAGGTAGAAACATTTTTGCTTGGTTTAATCTGAAACACATTATAAATATACACCCCTTAAAACAAAATAACAGATTATCACCATAATGAGCTGTCACATTTGCATTCACGTTGCATGTACTCAGTGGGTCACTTTCATAGGACTGGTAGCAGACCAGTAATAAGGCACATACAATTAGAAATAAAAGGCATATTAGAATTCTAGCTTGGGTCTTCCTCAATCATTGCTTTTGCTACAGTGATTATATTATATCATATAATATATATTTTGTTTTCCAGTAAAAGTCAACCTACAGTTTATCTAAAATGATTTCTTTCATTCCTCATGGAAACATTCATTCAACTATATATCTGACCTTTGCTCTGTTCATGTATGACAGACTGTGAAACGTTTTATTCTCCTTATTGTCAATTCTGTCTTCCAGCCCTCCCTCCTCTGCATCCTCTCCTTTTCCCATCATCCTCAGTGGCAATAGAAGCCCACCATGTTGTTGGGTGGAGGTGCTTACCGCCTGGCAGCAGTGAGCTCCCCCCTTGTCTTTAGTCAGGAAGTAAAGGAGGGCGTTGAGCCATGCGTTGAATGACGCCAAAGGCCTCGTGATCTTATAGCACATGGACACCATGGTCATAGTGTGACAGGGGACTCCCTTGGTCACTTTTAGCAGGAGGAAGATGGTTCTTGTAACATGAAAGGGGAAGAAACACAGGGCAAAGAGAAGGGTGATGGTGATGATGGTCTTGATAGATTTACGTCTGCGATTGGCATAAGGGGAGTGGGCACCAAGGAAAATGGAAGTCCCTTCATCTCTTCTTAATGTCCTCGACAGTCCATTGCTTCCTCTTGGACCTCTTGCAACTATTGCAGGGCTACTTCTCTCATTCCTCGCTATTCTTTCACGTCCCCCCTCGCTCAGACCTCTGCGGGATGAGGGCTGAGAATGCAGAGTCCTAAATATGGTCAGAACAACGTGAGAGTAACACCAAGCAATAATGGAAAAAGGCACAAAAAAACCCAGTAAATGGAGTATGATGCCATAGGGTACGTAATCTGAAAACTCCTTATCTATGGCATCATCCCAACAGTTCTGGTACTCTTCAATGACCCCTCCCATGTTACCATAGCTGGCATTAACATTTATCGATGACACCTCATGGCTTAGGTTGTCAATACTGCTTGCGTTGTCACCAAGCCCACCCGTTCTTGTCACATGACCAGTCTGAGCAAACCGGAAGATGGGGCAGGTCAAAGCAAACACTACAATCCAAACCAGGATACAAGTGCTCTTGACAGCCTTCTTAGTCTCTAGGGTGATGACTCTCATCGGGTGGCAGATACCGAGGTACCTGTGGACAGAGATACAAGTGAGGAAGAAGATGGAACAGTAGAGGTTGAAGTAGAAGAGAAAACGGACCAGGCGACACATGAAGTCCCCGAAGACCCAGCGGTCGCGCATGATGTAGCTAGCCACAAGGAATGGCAGTGACAGGCCGTACATGAAGTCTGTAGATGCCAGGTTCACCATGTAGATCAGTGAGGCATTCCAGCGCTTGGTTTGGCGAAAGGAACGGTAGAGAATGACAGAGTTCAGGAAGATGCTGAAGAGGAACGTGAAAGAGTAACAGATGGGGAGGAAGATGTACTTGTAGGATTCGTCTATGCTGCAAGATGGAGATGGAGTAGTGGTGGAGGGAGAGGAGGAGCTGAGTAAGTCATGGAGTACCGAGACACTGGTGTTGGGAGGAACTCCACGTCTGAATGACATTGTGAGGGATGAAGTGATTTTCATGTGAAGGAGATGTTGAACAAGGCTTGTACATTTGGGGTTCTGTCAAGCTTCCTCTCTGTCATCCTTGTACTTTGTACCATTTAATGTAGGTTTGTATGGTCCCGTACAGTAGATTTTCAGATGCTTTCAGATGGTCAGATCCATGAGTGGGTGTTCACCTAAAGATAAAGAAACAAATGAGTCGTCCATCTATACACACTTTATCTGATAGACTTCATAATTTTAACTGCACAATCAGTAGTAGTCCATTTTACTGGCTCTTTCAAATCAAGTCTAGAAATTGTCGATAAATTCTGAGAACTCCAATGTCCATTTTTATGCTGATGATACAATCTTGTGTCAAATACGGCAGTTGATCAGTGACCCTACTATTACACTACATGGCTACAGTTATGGTGGGAGTACAGGAGGAAGTCATGTTACGTAGAATAACAAGCTATAAAGTTCAATTC